ATATGTCTATTCGCTATGATTATGTCCGTATTAAGGGAGAAGCGCACCATGCAATGGCCATGCAGTAGGGACGGCAAACGTCATTAAAACTTAAGCAAATGGCTACTTTCCAACACACCCGCTGGTACCTTATGGCCAAGTTAGATGGCTCCCTCGGGCTTCTTGATGTTCTACGAGACCTGACATCTCACCCAACGGTACTGATGTACACATACAGGACACCTCCAGGTCGTGATTGACCGCTCTTGCAGTACAAATTGAGGTATACGCCTACATTTGACCTTTGACATTCCACATTCTGCCTTTTGACGACTCGCTATGTCCCCTTCGAACCACACCGCATCCTGCCACCCACATCCCCCTTGGGATTATGCTTACGATCACACCCCCTCTTTTCTTTCTTCTTTATCCTTACATACTCTCCCATGCACCTACCTTTTCCTCTTTTCTTCACTTTTCCCTCATCCTCTGTCTTATGTTGGTTCCAGTTTCCTCCAGGAGTTATTACTGCATTATATGACATATTTTATCCATGTTTGATTTCAGGGGTTATCGTCATCCTTGGCTCTATACTATCGAGGGTCTCTGTGATAACTATTGATGGCTGCTCCTTCATGCATTACGCCATGTATGTAGATGCTACTTCATGTATGTACACTGGAACATTATTGGTTATGGAAATTTAATAAAGATCTATATGCTTAAAAAAAAAAAACAAGCAAAAACGTAGCGGTATGCGTCCGGGACCTTTTTGTTTGCTCATGGTTCCAGGGAGGAGGCTTATCTCATATTGGGCCTGGCACCTGCCACCGGTGGAAGTTGCCTGAAGCGGTACGGCTTGGAAGATTATGTCTCTGCATAATTTTATACCCGTCAGAATAAATTACTTTATTCCAGGTGTAAACAGAAAACAACGGGCATTATTATAATAAAAAAAAAAAAATATATGGACACCGCAGCCAATCCGGGGACAGGTACAAGGTGGCGCAGGCACGGATCGAGCCATCATTCCAGGTACACGGTGATTAGACTGCAAATAATTTACTGTGTACCAAAATATTTATCCGCTGAGAAAATTGTTGCGCGGCTCACAAAGCCATTACACTCGCTCTCTGAAGCGCATTTCACAGAACATGCTGTAATCACAAATTACTATTTCACTTTCGGAGCAAACAAATCAGCTTTAGAGGGTTTAGAAAATGATGTACAATCTGCAGTTCAGGGCTGGCTGACGGCATGTAACTGTCGGCCGTGCGCAGCAGTGTTCCCTGATGTCCCAGGAGTCGCCCCGGTGATGTGAAGAGATGAAGGGGGGGGGGGGGGGGGGGGGGGGTGTGAGTGGTCTGTTTTCTCCAGCCAGGAATCTTGATGCACCTTCTTCACAATAATCGATTTTCTTGTTTTAGGCATTCTAAGAAGTAACCACATGACAATTTCTGGACAAAATATTCGGCTGTGAATCGACAACAAGTCACAGACACGTCTACGGGAGAGTTATTAGGAGAGTGGACATTAGGGTGAAGAAAAGAAGTATTTCGCCGTGTCTGTTTTTAGAGATGGCTGGAAAACAAAAATTGTACAAACCAGACTCGACCTCTCTAAAACCTGAGGAACCCTTGAAATACATTTCAGATCTCTGGGAACCCTTGGTAGTAATTTGTCTAAAGCTCTTGGTATATTTTGGTATATTGGCGTAAACAGTGAGTTGCAGATATAAATGAAACAATAAGGAATGTGAAGCACTCAGCATATTGACACCCAGGGCTGCTCTATAGCAAAAAAAAAAATTATTATTAAAAGTGCCCCTTTACACTGCTGGTCAGAGAAAAACAGACGTCTTTGAATCTTGGTTAGTGAAATGCTTCCTTACAATGGTGATTATTGGAGAATGGAGAAGGGCCTTCTTATACAGGTTTATAGGTGATATGTGGAGAAGGGCCTTGTTTATATATAGGTGGCCAGTGGAGAAGGTCCTTCTTATATAGATGATCAGTGAAGAACAGCCCCCTTGTATAGGTGGTCAGCATACAGTGGGTTATTGGAGAAGGTCCTTCTTATAAAAAGTGGTCAGTAGAGAAGAGCCCCCTTGTATAGGTGGTCAGTGTGCAGGGCCTTCTTATTATAGATGTGCAAGGGAGAAGGGCCTTCTTAAATAGGTGGATAGGTGGTCAGTTGAGAAGACCCCCCTTATATTAGGTGGTCAGTATATAGTGGGTCATTAAAGAAGGGTCCCTTAAATACGTGTAGAGGTGGTCAGTGGAGAAGGGCTCTCTTCTATAGTTGTATAGGTGGTCAGTGGAGAAGGGCCTCCTTCTATAGTTGTAGAGGTGGTCAGTGGAGAAGGGCCTCCTTCTATAATTGTAGAGGTTGTCAGTGGAGAAGGGCCTCCTTCTATAATTGTAGAGGTGGTCAGTGGAGAAGGGCTCTCTTCTATAGTTGTATAGGTGGTCAGTGGAGAAGGGCCTCCTTCTATAGTTGTAGAGGTGGTCAGTGGAGAAGGGCTCTCTTCTATAGTTGTAGAGGTGGTCAGTGGAGAAGGGCCCTCTTCTATAGGTGTAGACGTTGTCAGTGGAGAAGGGCCCTCTTCTACAGTTGTAGAGGGGGGTCAGTGGAGAAGGGCCCCCTTCTATAGTTGTAGAGGAGGTTAGTGGAGAAGGGCCCCCTTCTACAGTTGTAGAGGGAGTCAGTGGAGAAGGGTAATCTTATATAGATGTATAGCTGGTAAGTGGAGTAGGGCCTTCTTATATATTTGTATAGATAGGTGGTCAGTGGAGAAGGGGCTTCTAGACTGCTAGTCGATGGGAAGAATGCCCCCGCCTTAAAGAACAGTAAAAAAAATATTGGTGTTAGCGGTGACTTTTTGTATCGTAGAAAACTGCTCATTGCTCATGGAACCCCTAGGAACCTTGGGAGGAACTCTAGGGAACCCTGATCGAGAACGGATGGCATAGACTAAACTTGTAACAAGCAGCTGACAGCATAGCTTACACCTCTGAGCACCTCCAGTTCCCCTGTAGTTCAGAAAAAGCATAATGCCTCCACTAACTCCATTATGGACTGGACCGGAGTAAGCCATCAGAATGCTCGGGCCCCCAACTGTGTGTCTACAGATATGCAAATACTGAAATTATATGACATCAAATTATTTGAGTTTCCCACAGGTTTACAAAAGTCAATCAAAGCCATAAATCTATTTTGCAGTAAGTTCAGCCTCATGTCTCGCTCTATACAGCATCTTTTTTTGTGACTCTGTTACAAAGTTTCTTACCAAGAAGATCCTGCCAATAACAGCACACACCTTTGCAGGTCTGACAACACTAAGCTGCTGCCTTGTTGTTGTCATCAGCAGCATTGTCAGCCTGCAATGGGAGATCCTTCATGTTGGCTGCTGGGCTGCCCATCTGATATGTAGCCCAGTGGGCAACTGAAGGAGAGCACAAGGCAAGCGGATAACTGCTGCGGACTGTGAAGTCAGTCTGAAAAAGGAAGTTCTGTTACTGGCAGGTTCTCCAGATAAGGAACTTTGCAACATAATAACAAAAAAATCCCAGCTCAAACTAACCACTGAACCATCACATTCTCAAACAATTAATCCCCACACAGCTCGCTCCTCATGTATCACTTGCCCATCCCTTTCAGATTGTAAGCCCTCAGGGGCAGGGCCCTCCTCGAGTTGTATTGTGATTGTAATGTCTTACTTATATTGTAAAGCACTGCGCAAACTGTTGACACTATATAAAACCTGTATAATAATAATAATCACAAAAAAAAGACTTGCTTTCTGTTCTGCCTCCGGCATGTAGAAATAATAGTCGTACCTACCTGCAATATCAAAATCAGCCACAAGATGGAGCTGAAGAGAAAACATCTCTATTTACAGCAGCTTCAACTGTTCTCCTTTAATAATAAAAACTCCCAACATCCCTCTGACCAAAGAGAAGGAAACAAATGGATCTTGGGAGTTCAGACTCCTTTTAGAACTGAGGAATCCACTGCCGTCCGCACCAAGTGTCTGGAGGAAAGAGCCCAAATCTCTCTTAGGCAGCATTGCTGGTATGAAAGGGCTGATTTTGCTCTGTATTTGTGAGCCGACACTATATTTATAAGTTGTATATATTGATGGTTACCGTTTCTATGCTCTTTCACCAGGTTCACCCCACCCTGTGTTGTTAATAAAGCTTTAAGATTTCACTCAGTCTGGCTTTTTGCAGCACTGGAGGGTTTAGCTGCATGTTGAGCTATACACAGGCCACAGAGCAACGTACCTAGTAGAATGAACACCGACAAAACTTTACACTGTGCATATGATTCATAAAAGCTGGAATCCTCGGATTACTAATTACATGCCCCCGGAGGTGAACAGAATGTTGACTGAGCTTTGACTGCACCAGGGCGGGAGCAGCAATACAAAACAGGTCTTCCAAGGTATCTCCCCTTTTTCTTTGACCCCATACTCCGACCCCAACTCTTGTGCTTTATGCATTTTTCCTTTCTCTTCTCCTCGGCTTTGCACCTTTCCCTTTCTTCTCTACATATTATTGGCTTTCTCTCCATAACATGCAACATGAAACACGGCCAAATCGCCACCCAATGCAAGACAGCAGTGACCCCAAAGCATCAATAGACACCCCCACACGTCCCAACAGAAAGACGACTGAAGAAGGTATCAGCGGTCACATGACCACAGAACATACAATAAAATACAGCAATTTGAAAGGGTTTTGATTTTTTGATGACTCCTGCAAAAAGGATGATCTTCCTATATTTGGGTTGTAGACGACCTGCCTTCTACTTTATAAATACTCGTTCAGTATTGGGGTGCGAATCGCACAGAGAACATCCTCCCTGGTGCACCTCCACGCAAATGGTCACATCACCCACCAAATCCACGGACACCGCCACAAACTCCCTGCACACCATACTCATGCACCTTGTGAACTCTCACACGTGTTCCAACGTGGCACAAAACAAAATCAGTTTGTTGCTTTCAGTCCTCCTACCTCATTAATCTGTACCCGCACTTTATTAATAACCCGAAGCCAGCGAGCCCTGGCCGGAGAGAACGGAGGAGGTCCTACATCTTCCGGATAGCTGCAGGAACAAAAAGACACAAGACGTTATGCCGTCTACTGATAACAAAACACACAAAAACAGAACTTAAACATGGCCTCCGCATGTTCACCAGTCACGCGCTATGGGTCAGTGAAAGATCACTGGCCGCCACACTGAGCTTCATTGAGCCTGTAGAGTAGAACCTCAAGTATATGTAAACCCCAACAATTAACTTCTCCTATTTGCTCCCCTTCTGGTCCCTGTTGACCCTACAAGAAATCCAGTAGGCTGATAAATACTTGTGTTCTCTGAAGTGTTGTCAGGCACTGTTTTTAGACTACAAAACCCAATCCCCCCCCCAAGTAAATTGGAAGTAGGGCAGTTGGTCTTTAGTCCCAGCACAATGCCTGCCCTAGGGTGACAATGCTTCCCCTCCTTAGATACATTACAGTGAGTGTTGTCAGCCTAGGGCAGGAAGGGCATAGAAAAAGGGGGGGGGGGGGCCTAAAATGAAAACTAAAGAACTACGACATCTAAGAGGTGGAAAGATTCAATACATTCACCATAGAATATACTCTGTTACACCTTTAACATTCACTACATCACATCATGCATTCATACAGAACGGGGAGTACATCTTCTTTATCCACTACGAAGAATAAAACATAACATACTAAGAACATCCCCACGTTTCCCAAAGCCACACAGACCTTTCCTCTATCCTTCATGTTTATGAATTTTTTATTTTGGGTTGTCATCAGGAATAGATGGGAAATCTTCCAATGGGGAAACTAGTTCTGGTGACCCTGCTGGCAAGTACTTCCCTCACTTTCGAGGGATTTCCTCTCACTTCCGTTTGTGGCTAAGAGATAGGAAGTGGAGAGAAATGTCCCCAATGGGAAAACAAAACTGACAGAATGTGTAAGCTTCACTTATGCTGCTCATAATAGTAAAAAAAATGGACTTTAGTTCCACTTTAAAGTATTGTAATGTCCTCCAATACTCGGGGGGTGCAGGAGGTGCACATACTCAGCCCAGTAAGCCAAGGTATGCATGAACATGGTCCTCAGAACACAGTCCGCCCACACATGATAATGGCAGCCCATGGTAGAGGGCCCGGGGGCAAGTCGGTAGGGAGTCCGGGGGGCAAGTCAGTAGAGGGCCTGGGGGGCAAGTCAGTAGGGGGCCTGGGGGGCAAGTCAGTAGGGGGCCCAAGGCATGTGCCCCTGCGTACTAATCACACACAGCACCTGTCCTTCCCCGGAGCTGCCCAATACGGCCCTGCACGCAGCACAGAGCTGTACATGCCGGCCGTTTCTAGTGTTAATGAGGTCTTACTTGTTCACACCATGTGTGCATTAAGTTGCACAATAATGTGCACCGCCGCACACGTATGGTATGAACAGGGCACACAGAAAGCAATTGTTGGGTTTCTATACGCTTTAACTCTCCAGTGCATACCATAAAATAGCAGTTCGAGATGAATTGACCCTTTAAAAGCATTCTGGAAATACAAAACCTTTATATATAAAAGCAAAAACTAACAAACATGCAGCAAATATTTGCACCAATTTGATATTTGCTCTGTGTTCTCTGTTTCACGGGCTCATTCCAATCATCTGTATATAAAAGGGAAGATGCGTGCTTCAACAAAAAGCCGGAATCTCCTCTAGAAATGTCCACCTTGTTTTGCTCCCGACTTATAAACTAGATAAAAGAATCAAATGAAAAGCAGAAGAACACAGAGCAGATAAAGCGCCGCTCCGCATCTCTGCACCAAATCCCGGCACGCAGAGTGCCACAGGCCGGCGTGTAGGAGGGCCACTCGGGAGAAGTGTGTGAAAACGCTGGAACAAATTATTTTTAATAAGTTTGCAGTGTGCGGCGTGCGTGCGGCTCGGAGTAGGCGTGTGGATCCATTAGAAGCATTATAAGCTTGATGTACAGAACAATCCTGACGCTTTCATCTTCTTCTCCACATACACCCGGAATATTGGTGAGAGAGGGGTGTGTGTGTGTGTTGTTTTCTGGGTGATGTGAAGACTGGACGTGAATACCAAATGGCTGAAATGTGTGTCTACATTTAAAGCGGCTCGCTTTTTCTTTTAAAAAGGTATGCTGTGGTCCAAACTGAGAAATAAAGCCCAATTCCATCTTAATACCAACCCTGACTTCTAATTCCTCGCCTCATTGGACCCCCACCACAGCATTTTTATTAAAGGGTTAATGTACCACTATAATGAAAGGCTTGCAGTGCAGTCAAGAAGTCCCGGTAGTTTACAACTCGTGGTGCAGTGTAAGGAACTTGAGCTTTCTTTAAATTACATACCCGTAAGCCACCCATAGCTGGCTTCTGTAAAGTCTGGCCTCAAAAGCAGCATTCAGAGTGATCAGCACCGCCATGAATCAGCACATAGTAAGTACCTCCCCCTCCATCCTGTAAGCTCATCCAAGTACCTCCCCCTCCATCCTGTAAGCTCATCTTAGTACCTCCCGCTCCATCCTGTAAGCTCATCTTAGTACCTCCCGCTCCATCCTGTAAGCTCATCCAAGTACCTCCCCCTCCATCCTGTAAACGGATCTAAGTACCTCCCTCTCAGTCCTGTAAAGGGATCTAAGTACCCCCC